TCACTCCATTAAACATAGGGGGTAAATATTTTGAATAAAAATCCTAATGTGGGAATGAGACCATAATTTGCTGCCAACATCAAGGAACTAAGACTGTCAAGGTTTGTCATGTCATGTCATTTTGACATTTTCTATTGATAATTTGACAAATGTAAACGATAAAATAAAATTTTCACAATTCCATGCGGATGAAGCCGCGCGGTAACAGCTAGTGTAGTATAAAATTATGAGGCAATTAATTATTATGCAATCATTCATTAACCATTTTTTTCACACATGCAATACTGACTGTCTTAAAAAGGGTATAATTGATATGTATTTTGGTAATAATTGGGCCGTCTTAAAAATAAACTCTACAAGCGTTGTCTACACATATGTTATTATTGTGTGGTCTTGTATTACTGATAACTTACGGAATAAAACAAGTTGTACATCATTACGAAATTACATTAACCAAGGTGTTTAATGTAAATACCATTTGTCGCCCAAATGAGAATTCGCAAGGGAAATGCCCTTAAAGTTTTTGGTGTTTTATCCAACTTCGAGTAGACTTTAACAGTGGTAGAGCCCGCTTTAATATCTTCGCACGATTGTCGGGTCGCCCGGTGTAATTCCACGACCACACAGACTGGCGTGAAGTTGAAGCAATTTCGCGTTTCGTCTGATTAGTGTGGTGCAGGAGGCCCAACTTTAGTCCCTTTTCCTTCCCATCCTTTTTCTTATAAGAGACGGATGGGAAGGGAACGTGGATCTGACGCTAGAGGAGACGCATAGGAAGGGGAAATATCTTTATGAGCGTTTTCTCCAACGTCGATTAAGGATTGGCAACGTATCCGCTATTACGAATGTCTATGGGCAGCGGTCGCTTCGTTATTTTGGCGGATTCAGGAGGCCGCTTGCTCCTTTGCCACCTTGTGATATAAAAAAAGACTATCGCACAACTGTTTAGTCTCGCTTTGATTCCTATGAGCTTATATGGCGGTGTGGTCACTACTCGATTTTTAGTTGGCCGCGAAACAATTGACTATCGCAAGACGATTGTTCAATTGTTTAGTCAAAAGAGTATGCACACAATTTTAATAACGTAACATTGTGACGGCTGTATTAAAACATTATTTATTCTTTTGAAATAAGAACTGTAAATTGCTTAACTTTTTTCAAATTTCGAATACATATTCATTATAGTAACGTCAATTAAACGTCGTTACAATGTTGGGTCAGTGAACTGTTTTATTCACCAAGGATGTTACAAAGAAATCGAACGAGAAATATCGATTTTTATAACGACTGAATTCGATTCACATTTGTTCGACATCGATTCATTCACATTAATTGATATTAAACAGGTATAAAATCCAACTACAGTTGTCCAAAGTAACAGTTAGTAAAATTCAAACACGTGTAACATCCTATCACTAATGAATCAATTACGTGTACAACTAAATATTTCTATTGCTATGAATGATTGATATTCCAAATGTCAAAGTCGATATCGCATACCACAGATATCTGCTCACACCTGCCATCTATTAACACTGATGTCAAAATACAAAACCCTCAACGAAAATATTTCCTTTCAGGCCAAATTAACCAGACGACGGCATTTTAGTTTACAAATTTCTGCTAAAAACGTTCAACTTCCTTATCAAGTAAGTGGTAAAGACTATATTTGTATGTGTTTTAATATTCGAACAGCATATGTATATTGGTTTAGAGTGAAGTTTAATTTACAGCAATGCAACGATTCACATATGTTACTGAAGATTTCGTTGTAAGCATACGAACAAATAGACAGGATTACATTTAAATTATTTATATTGACATGTTAACTGTCATAAATGACATTTTTACAAGGTTATATCAAGGCTGCTAAATCGCCGTATTAAAAAAAAAACTTTTAGAATTATGTAAAATTGTCACTTTTGTATATTGTAAATATTCCTTTGTTGCCATCAGTCTGTGAAAACAAACTTTTTTGATAAACAGACAATAGATAGGGTTCCTAATAAACAAAATGCTAATCAAATTGTCACGTGCTTGAAAAAAAACCGCCTTACTTAAAAATGTAAACAGTGTTTTAAATATACTTTAGTTAAAACATACGCCAAACCTCTTATATCTTGACGAACGACGAATGAAGAATACATAGGCTACTTGCTTTTGTTTTTTAATTCTACGCGGATGGAGAGTGAAAAGTTAGTAATTAAAAAAAGCAGTCTGTTGATATGATACCCATGATTATGAACCATAGTCTCAAAGGTCAGAGTTAAAACACATGTTTAACTAATGTCTAATTATATTATTCAGAATAGTCATCGCTTTCTAACATTAGAAAGTCTGTGACAAAGTCAATCATTAGTTTATAATAATCTGAATATCTAAACTGGTGCATAGACAATTTGTAACCTCTAACGAGTCTCACATTACAAGCTTGTGGTAATAAATCATTTTTTTTAAACTGGCAACAAAAAACGCGCGGCAAAATGTCTGCTAATTGACGTATTTCTAACAGTGGTCCGCTTAATTATATCTAAATATGCGCTTTCACATGATTTATTTTTAGTATAACGACATACGTCATTCTAAAAATGCTAGAGGAATCAAATGGAGGATCCTTTAGTTATGAACTAGCTTTGCACCGCGACGTTGTCCCCGTAGAATAAAAAAATAAAAGTAAGTAGCCTATAATCCAGACTTTGCTCTACATCTTTGCCAAATTTCATCACGATCCGTTCAGTTTTAGGCGTCAGACTAACAAACATCCATCTAAACTTTTGCATTTATAATATTAGTAAGATAAGATAGGAATAAAATAGTTACGTTTGAAAAATAATGTTACTGGATTTTATTTTCTTGTGTTTATGACAAATTAGGTTTCAAATACAAGACTACAAACACGAACATAACGTTTAGATGCTAATCTATAAAGAAAGTCATAATATCAATCGTTATAATAACAAAGGATCTTATATCTATTAGAAATGTTATGGACAAAATGATTAAATATCATCTTCCTTCCGAACGAAAAATCTTTAATAGGAACCACAAAATACTGCAATAAATTAACCACGCCATTTTAAACCCTATTACCAAAGCAATAATGTCACATTAACTGTTAGATTATTGGCCCTTTTATACTATTTTTCTTCGCTCCCCACATAATTAACTGTGTTCCCTTCCGAATACTAAACACCTATTTAGTAGTGACAGTCTATTAGAAAGGGATAGATATAGATATTATATCATGTTAGACAGGGACAGTGATATAGGGATGGGAACCCTATGGGATTCACTTCACGCGTTGATACCGGGAGGTTAAACATCGAAGATCGTTTCCATTGCTATATTTAGATATCTAACCGAGTGTAAATGATAGGAAACAAGTAATTTATGAACGTGTGCAGTTACATCATTATGTTTTATGTTAACTTTCGAACGCATCAATAATATGTTCTCGTTTTCTTTAATGTTTTGAGAACATATCTTATAATGATCGCTATGTATTTTTGATATGTAGATTTTAAAAAATGCTGTAGTAAGTAACTAATTAATTTTACTCTTTTTTTATCAAAAGATGACAAAAAAGTAAGCGGTTACCTTAATGACCGCTGCTCATAAACAAATGAAGTTTCAGATAAATAACCTTTATTAGTGGGAATGCACAGATATTTCTTCATATGCGTCAAATCAGAGTTCCCTTACCATTCTTTTCTTTAAAAAAAAGTGTGGGAAGGAAAATGGACTATATGGCTTCCGGCACGCATATTCTAAAGCTTTACCTACTGTCAAATTATGAGCTTTTCTATCAAAGTGTGAGTGAAGCAATTACGTCCATTTTCACAATTAGTCCCCTAAAGTCTTTAAGGAGTGGTTGAAGAAAATGGTCATTAGTAAATTTTTTGATATTTTTTCTTGTGCTTTATTGGCGTTGTATGACTAACTAGCTGTTTTCGTGCAACTTCATCCGAATAAAATTATGAACATTTAATTTTATTGTTTACATGTGTCTAATTATCAATTGCAAATGTCAAAATGACATGACGATGGCAACCTTGCTTTCTTGATGTTGGCAGCAACTTATGGTCTCTTTCCCACATTAAGATCTTAAAAATATTTATCCCCAAAGTTTAATAGCGTGAAAATATATAGCCTAAAGCGTGACGTAAATGGACTTTTCATAAAAAAAAGAACCATTCAAAAATATGCTGTAATTGCTCACATCTTAGGCAACACAGAAGTGTGTGTTTACGCTTTATTATAATAGTATAGATAAGAAATACTTTTTTTCATATTTAAAATTTCCCGTTACTTTCTAGTATCTATACTAATTAAATTATCTACCATATAGGCGTGTTATGATCAAAATGTCAACCGTTATACAAATAATATGTCCTAGTTACTCTATCTCTATTTGGTTGGACTATATTTTAACGGCGGAAAAGTGTCACATGTAACATATTTTTGGATTACCAACATGCATATAAACATCCACTTTAGCAGTTTGTAGCCGTTTAAAAAAGGAACTTCATAAATCAATTAAAAAACACAACAGTAAACTGTTGTAGTAAATCACGTATACTAATTTGAAACGGATCCGTAAACATCCGAGTACACCGCCGACCTCCCCTCGTCTCTCGCAAACACTAATCTCATAAAGGGAAGCCTGCGTGTCTCTCAAAAGGATTTAACAAGCGGCATTCACGACTGCTCATTATATTTTTATACTTTATACCTCTGGTGGCGGACGTAAAGTGCGCTATCAAAACGCGAACCCCTACAAAAGGTAATTATGTTTTGATTCCTACGAGAGAGAAAAAAAAATCGAGTATCACAAAGGAGACTAACGAGATAAGAGTGTGCTAAATCGCTCCCCCCCGCGGCCCCCTCGCGGATCAATTCGGAAACAAACGGTCGATTGGCGGAGCGGGACGGCTTTATTTCAGAGGCGGAGCTCCCCACGAACACGCCCCGCCATCCGGCGCGAGGGACCAACTTACCGCTAGTGGCCAGTCGACCTCCAACCGCGCCCGCATGCGTACGATCGACCGCGATCGCAGTGTGAAACGGTAGTGCTAAATGGAACTTAACGGCGTTCAATGTTAAAGAAACAAAGTTACGAAGATAAAGACGTGAATATGGCGATACAGAGCGTTTCGAGATACCCCAGCAGCCCCGCGGAGGCGACGGAGCCTCCGAAGGCGTCGAGAATAAGCTTCAGCGTCGCATCTATACTGGCGGACACCAAGAGTAACCAGGCAGATGAGACTGCCGAGATCATACGGCATCATAGAACTATACCGGAGTCACCTTTGAGACAGTCCCCGTCAGCGCAGCCCGAGCTACCTGGGGCGAAGTCTCCCTCTCCCAGGCCTTCGTCTCACATGTCTCCTTTGAATCTGATGTCGACTGCGCCGGCGACATCATCGGACGATGAATATGAAGATTCTGTCAATCAAGAGGATTCGATAGTGGACGTTGAAGATCTGCAGAATGGTATGCCGAGTGATGACGAAGAGAGATTGATAGCGGGGTCAGATAAAGAGAGATTGGGCCCTATAAGACCTACCCCCTTTAGCGCGTTAGCGGCGGCCGCGGCGGCGTATCACGGTCTGGGCTGGCCGGGACCTCAATCTGTCGTACCAACATTTGGACCTCTATTCCAATCGCATTTCTCTGTTGGACATATAACAGGTTAGTGTTTTATATTTTTTTATTTTATAAGACAATGTCTTCAACACTTTTTTTCATTACAAATTGCGGCAGTGTTAATGTACGGTTTTTAATTGCCGCTAACAAGTTTACGTTGTAGTTGTTAGAGCAAGTTAATGCTGATTTATAGCTCACTTTATGTTGCCGGCTGACCATTTATCATTTTTTTTGTAGTATTGAGAAACGTTCCTTTTCTACGCTGTTCGTTTTTTTCCTTTTAAGAAATGTTTGACCGTTATTATATTAGTAGAAGTAACATTTTGTTAACGTGCACTTTTTTTAATTTATTTATGCAATTTGTAGAGTTACCTTTGGTTGCAATTTTGGCTCAAGGAGTGTGATGTAGGGATTTATTAAAACTAGAGAATTAACAATTTATTATATTTTATTTATAAATAATTTGATAATCTTATAAAATCAATGACAATTAATAATACTTTTCAGTTGTTTGAAGATAAAGGAATATTTAAAAAAATACACTTTTACTATTTTAGCTTATTAAATTGTGACATAGACATAATGAGGCATTCAATTTCAATTTATGATATTTTGATTTTTTTTTTCAAACTGGATCTATTAAAATTATCGATTCCATTAACATATACAATTTATGTGTTAAATATAGATTACAAGGTAAAATATTCTCACATTAATTATCATTAAAATATATAAAATATTAGAAAATTAAACATAAAATCGACATACTCATTAAAAAAAGAAACATTTACAAAACATAAAAAACTTTAAGCACTTAATTTGATTTCAAAATCGTATAAAATAACTTATTGAATATATCAAACGAAATAAAAACAGTCAATGATTTTTTAAAACTAAATACATATAAATATAACTGAAATTACTTATTTATCTTATAATTAAAAGTTCCGAGTAACATAAACATTTATTAAAAAAACAGTTTCGATTTCTCTAATCTTAAAACTTTTTAATTATGTAACATTGGGCCTTAACATAAAAATGTAAATAGAGTTTCAAATCCAATCTAACTTAAACCGCTAACCGTTTTATATTGTGTCTCTAACCCGGCGGAGTTTTCGATTTACTAATGTTATAAATGCGAAAGTTTGCATGAATGTTTTGCTAGAGTTAACCTAAACCGTTTAACAGATCTCAATGATAGGCATAGTAGAGGATAGTCTGGGAGAACACAGGCTACTTACTTTTGTTTTTTTTATCCACGCATTCCCGTTTTCTCGGCTCTACCCGGAGTCGCGAGCGAAAGCTAGTCGTGTAAAGTAGGTACTTATACCATAAGCAGTGTCTTGATTCATATTTATAGTAAACCATTTAACCGGTAGGCAAAGTGTTAAGACACGTGTTTATTTTTTTCTTTTTATAAGGTGGCAAACGAGCAAGTAGCCACCTGAATCCACTAAAATAGAAAGCGACCGCTGCCCATAAACATCCGCAAATGCGTTGCCTACCCTTAATTGACGGAGGAGGAGACGCACATAAAGAGGACATTTCCCCTCCATATTCGTCTCCTCCATCATCAACTCCACTTTTCCTTTCGATCCTTTCCTCTTAAGAAAAGGGTGGAAAGGAAAAGGGACTAAAACTGGACCTCTGACACCACACTCATCAGACGAAACGCGGAATTGCTTCCACTTTTCGCCTGTTTTCTGTGTGGTCGTGGCCGTGACCGGGCGAGCCGGCCCATTCGGGAGAAGATGTTAAAGCGGGCTCTACCACTGTTTCTAAACAGTGTCTAGCTACGTCTTTTGGAGTAACATATTGTTTTTTTATTCGTAACAATTGTATTTAACAATATTTAACATATTTGATTCGGTAATAGAATTCGTGTTGCTATCTACATAAAACGCAACATTACATAGTTTTCCCAACCATACAATTTCGCAATAATACTAAATATCATAAAGTTTATTTCAGCATATTTTATAACTATTATAAAATCAAAACCGTTGCTTAGAATCATTGACCACAGCCTATTGTTCAATAATATGCTTATTGTTTAAAATATTCAATACGTCTTAGTCCATATCAATAAAACAATGGTTTGAAATAATGCGGCTGTGATACGCTCTAATTTTATTCGTTATTATTTATAATTTTTAATATACGCACTACATCCTCCTGTATACAGTAAAACAAATTTTCCTGGATATTCCTATCTCTTTCTCTATCTATCTCTCTCTTTCTGTGTAGATGAACAACTACAAGCTTTCGCCCGTGCCGTGCGCGGGGAATTAAAAAACAACATAGTAGCCTATGTAACTTTCCATAGTATGTTTTACATCTATGCCTTATTTCCTGGAGTTCCGTTCAGCAGTTTAGGCAACAAAATCTAAGAAACATCCACCCTTCCATTCAAACTTTCGCATTTATAATATTAGTAAGAAAACGTAATATTTATGTTAAAACGACATTACTAGAAAAACATACTTACTAGGTTTGCAATCGGGTGCAAATTAAGTCAGTAAGTCATTATTCATAAAAAAAAACTTAATAATTCATTAACTAATTACCCTTATAAGGTATAACCTAAACTGCCAAATCTTATCAAATCTAATAAGACGTCCAATTAGAAAATGGAATCAAAGTAACAGAATATTCAAATGACTTCAACACAATAGGGTACAGCCGACAAAATCCATCTTAACCCTTTGACAGCCGGTTACGGTGTACAAACAAACAACAGTACGAACAATAAGCCAGACATAAATAACGGATCTGTCGAATCGCGAAAACAATATCCACCCCATAAGATGGCGGGATCTCGGATTGAAAACATGGCCGCCGATTTGCATAAATATACCTGACGTTTTGAATTGTGAACCCATTCGATAACCT